TGAAGCGTGAAGCGAGACGGAGAAGAAAAAAAAGATACGCCATTCGCAACTATTTAGATAAGAGATAAATATGTGCTTTCGAATGTCAGCGAGGAACAATAAACAGACGCGATAGACCACGATAGACCACGATAAACCACGATAACGGACGTAAGAATACGGAGGGATACTCATCAGGTGGAAAAACGGAAGCAGACACCTGTTGCTGCCAGCCTCGAGTTGGACGATTGCGATGGCTCATCTACTCAAAAACCTTACTAATAGTATTTGGCATGCATTTCACGCTCTACAGACCGATGTCACCAACACGGTCGCCAAATCTAAGTTAAAGGTGGAACTTTGAATAATAAAATTCAAATTTGGATAGCTAAATAAGATCGTGCAATTGTCTACTATCTCTTTTTTGTTTTCTTTTCTCTTTGACACTTGTTCATTTCAGTGTTGATTTTGATAGGTATTGACAGCCAACATTGGTACCTTGATGGATTTGTATGGTGTAGAAAAAGGCCTGGAGCATTACCGGAGTACGCAAAGTTTAACGTTCGATCAATACATCTATTATTTACAGAAAGAAGTAAGATCTTTTTTAAAATACATGTATTATAAACTATTTAATATACATAAGAGACAAATGTTAATTCTCTTAATTATTTAAAGAAATGGTAGAATTTTATATAAAGATACATACATGTGTGAATGTATTTCGAAACGTTTTGGCTCATACTTTTATTATTAATAAATTGTAGCAAATACTTGACCGAGGCAAACTTGTAGAACATGTGAAAATAAAACAAGATATTTAGATACACAAAAGCTAAGATTTTTAAGAAATATGCAAGAGAAATTTTTCTTTATCTTCTTATTTTCAAAATGTAGATATCTTTGAACCAAAGTTTCCCCAAGATTTTTATTTCAAGTATCTTTTTTTGCTACCCTCACTCATTCAAGAGTATTTGCTTCGCTTTTGCTCATTCAGCTTGATGCAGTCTGTGCAGTCTCAACAATTTCAGATGTTCTCTTCCGTAACTGATGCTACCTCTGTACAAACATTGAAGACAATGGAAGAAGGGGTAGATGAAATTTGCTGGCTGGTTTGTAAAAAGATCTATCTGGAGAGATCCCATTCAGTTTTTGACGATCATAGTGTTTACCAATTGTTCAGAATTTACTGTCTGCTGGCCGAGACGGATTCAGATGCAACAGATTCTTATCTGGTTAGCGGTTGCTTATAATAAATTATATAAACCAATGTCTTTAGCAATTTTCGATGTGTCGCTTTTGGTGATACAGGTGACAATGCATGGCGACGAGGTAGCGCGAATCGCTTCCCATCTGGTAATGTCATTGGGTCTACAATGGGACGCGGCAGATTTCTCAGCTTTATCAGCAGCTATTGGAACATTTAGGTAACTTGTCATTTCCAGCTTTATCATATTAATCGCAAAGATAAAGATATTAAAGAATGCAATTTGTTGATGAAAAATTTATCGGGAAGGTTTCCCACATTTCTGGCAGTTTTGGAATCCAAATATAGTGGTGGTAATACTTTGGACATTATGGCGTTATCAGAGGCGATTGATGATCTCTACCAGATTTACATAGAGAACGTGGTAAAAAAGGTAAATCGATGTGAATGTTTTGCTCAATTTTGCTAATAAATTGAAGAAAATTTGATTCTCAAATTGACGGATCTTTCTCTAAACGCATGCCATAATAATGCACGAGTACGTTCTGACAAGAGTTATGCAAGAAGCGTATGATGCATCATTTATCTATATTATTCACTGAATAATAAAGAAGGATAAAATGATATTATACATCATCATCGCTTCATACGTAATTCTGAATACACTCCATGTTGCAATCTTATGTTTATATACACATATTATAATTGTAAAGCCCATATCAGCCCGACCATAATGAACAAATCACAATGACTGACTGTGATGGTTCACTATGGATCACAGTTGGCAGTCGAATCAGCCTGCAAAATCGGCAATCTAATATGGACTTGACAGAGGCAACACAGAACGCATGCATTCCAATGAAATAATTTTTTTCTTTTTACAAATATCGTTGCAGGGTTATCTGATGAAGAAAGGTTTCCTGCTGCCAACATTGCGATATTTTTGGTTTGTCCTGCGTCCCGGTGAATTGACATATTACAAAGATCCGCAACAAAAAGAACCGTCCGGATTAATACTGCTGAATGCTAATTGTTGGGCCGATACTGTGACAAACGGTGGAAAGCCCGATAAAAGGTTCGTGCTTAGTACCCCCGAACATAGATGCATAGAGCTAATAGCAGAGGATCACAAAGGCAGGCTCCAATGGCTCGCGGCATTACAAACAGCCATTCAGCATTCGAGTGAGAAGATCGGCTATCAGAGAAGTTTGGCCAATCAACGAAGATCCTTGCGACAAGTAAATGCAAATTAATTGAAGAAGAAAAAATACATAAAAAATGTTTTAATAAAATCGTTTTAGTTAACACTTATTCAATAATTTGTATTGTTACTTGCTAGGCTGTTAAACAGGAAAAAGAAGAGACCAAGTTGGAACTTCAGCACGAGAGGCAAGCTAGAATCGCCGCCGAAATACAAGCTCGGAAATTGGAAACTCTGTCGAAGGAAGAAGGTGCTAAAGTTCAACAACTGGAAGATGTTAAACAAAAACTAGAGTTGCTGCTACAAGAAGAAAAACAGGCTCTACGCGATGAGGAAATAGGTAAAAGGCTGTTATAATAATCTAATTTTTATTGTATTAGTTTTTGTAGGATTGTATAATTTAGATAGATACGCCTTATGTATATTGCAGTACGAAGTTTACAAGCGAGAGTACTACGCGAAGAATGGGAGAAAAGAGAGCAATTAGAGAGACTGCAGCAGGAG